TACACAGAATTATAGAGGAAAGAGTATTATCAAAATGCACTTACTAAAATATTTTAAAAAATCGGTTTGTGATATCATAATGTGCTTTTTTGTTTAATGCATTAAGTAACAAGATGTGGCAAATTCTAGTTGTATAGTGTCTGAGTGATTATGAGCATCTGTATTCTGAAATTGTGATCTGAAGGTGAAGGGGAGAGTTGGGGCAGTTGAGGAACTCCATGCCCGCTGGCCCCTATTACCTGGGTGTCTTTAGAATGTGAGGATTTGGGCTGGGATTCGCGAGTGGTAAGGTTTGAGAACAGATAGGGCAGCTTTCTTTAGCTCTCATTATGTCTCAGGGCCTGAGAAATCCTTCGTATATGTTATTTCTTTGAACCCTGGGAACAGTTTCATGAGGAGTAGTTACCACTGCCATCTTTACTTGACTGGGATATCTAGGAAGCTTGGAGAAACTGCCCACAAATAGATCACTGAAAAAACTGCTGACCATTTACCAGTCCTCAAAGGAAGTCTGCCTAAATAAGCCAGAAGCAATATCCTGGTTAGCGATGCACTGCAAGGCCACAGTGAGGCAGGGTTAGGATCCAGTCCTAAACCTTTGACCAGAGCCTGTTTTATCTCCTTTAGTCCACTCTGTAAACTGGGGAAGATAAAAGAATTTCTAAGTGACCCTAAGGGCCACTTGAGATTGAAACCCCACATTTGTCTAATCCAGAAGACAAATCCCCAAACTCACTGTTAGGTGATTTTCCCTCCAGAAGCAGGAGAAGGGATGGGTTGGGGCTGAACAGTCAGTGTTCACACAGAGGACTGTATCCTGAACCAGCTCTTCCGGGGCCACAGTTGTTCCCCCTGGAGAAGAAGAGGGTCTTCCCTTGTAAGTCCACCTGGAATACATCTGCACCACGTTGACCTAGCAGCGTTTCATCACTGCTTCCTCAGTGTTCTTTGGAGACATGATGCTGGGGTGTTTTGACTTAACCATAAATTTTCTCAGTGTGGTCTGCTGCTGGTGTAATTGAAAGACCTGAGGCACAGAGGCTGGGGCATGCCACGGACAGAACAGTTCACAGGGGACAAGAGTTTATAGTAAAGATCAGATGTATTCAGGGACCTTGGGACAGCTTCTGGTGTTCAGAGCAGGAAGCACACCCCAGCATCTTGGCTTGGGTAGAGATCAGGGGGAAAAATGAGATCTCTTTATTTTTCCTTTTCCCAGCCACTCATATAAGTACCATTCACCAAGCTAAGTATATGCAGCAGGAGTGTATGTAAACATTCATTTAAACTGTTAAAAAGTGCCTGTGGGAAGTTGGGTGAGAGAGAGGTGGTTGAAACATGGCTTGTGTGGCCCAGTTCCTTTATTATAGATTAGCAAATGTGAGGTGTCTTTGCTGTTCCCTCCCAGACCCTCACCAACGAGAGCAATTTCAGTAAATATGCAGAAAACCAGGATTTCAGAAACATACACACCTCTCTAAAAAAAACACCTTGAACAAAACAACCCCGCAGCCTTTCATAGTGTTGAGTGTTTGCACTGTCTGAAAACAACTATTCCTAAGGATAATTAGCTTTTATCTTTGATTTATTCTGGTTTTTTTGGTCAGATATCTTTAGGCCTTCAGGCTTGAGGTCAGAAATAAATAGAAAACGTGTCCTAGTCCTTGATTTGATAATGCCAATGGCAAATCGTATCTGATATTCATAACAAATAAAGATTTCTTTTTTTGTCTGTCCTGGGAACATCAGGAAGCTTGTAACCCTGCCTTCCTAGACTGTGTCAAACAGGAAAATTGTGTTTCTGTTTAGATTTAACACTGAGCATTAAATGATTAAAATGTAATCATTTCCAACATTAATTCAGAGAGATCTATAAAAATAGCATTTAGAAATCCTTCTAAGTTGTAAGTAACTTTACAAATCTGTAGATTTTTATAGGATAGAGAGCATACACATCAGTGACTTAGCAGGACCTCCTTGTACCTAAAGGGACAGAGTGCCCTCCCCCCGCTTTTTAAGTACATATTTCAGTAATTCTGAGTTCAGTTAAATGCTTTATTCAAAGAATAAATTTCTGTTTGATCTCATGTAAACAATAATCTCA